AAACAAGTCTGATTTCATAACTCCTTCACGCGCTCTCATCCAGTTCTTGTTTCCGCGTAGTGTATTAATTTCTCCATTATGCGCGCACCATCTCATTGGTTGGGCACGGTCCCATGACGGGAAGGTATTGGTCGAGAATCGCGAGTGAACCAATGCAAAGTGTGTTTTATAGTGTACATTGTTCAAGTCGTGGAAATAATTATAAACTTGCACGGGTGCAAGCTGGCCCTTGTAGACGATGTTTTTGCTCGATAGCGAACAGACGTAGAACCACTTATTGACAGTGATGTGATGGGTAGATTGCTTGCGAAGTATGTATAGTTGTCTCTCAAAGTATTTTTCATCGAAATCAATCGAATCCGAAGTGTAATTCTTGAGTGTAATGAACGGTTGAAGAATAACAGGTTCAAGGGATTTCGCTGCTGGACCGAGTATAGAGTTATCTCTAGGTACTTCACGCCATCCGAGGATCTTCAAATTCAATTGATTGGCGATCCGTTCGAAGATTTGCTTGCTCTCTTCCATGACAGAAGCTTCTGGTTTGAAGAAGATATTACCGACGGCGTATTGACCATGAGGAGGCAGTTGAATGCCGAGCCTAGGACATTCGATTGAGAAAAGTGTGTGCGGGATGCTAGTCATTACACCAGCCCCATCACCGTCTCTTGCATCAGCACCGACAGCACCTCTATGAGTCATGTTGCAAAGGATATTTCGTGCATCGCTGAGAATTTTATGAGAGGGAGCACCCTTGATGTGAACGATGAAGCCGACTCCACATGCATCTTTTTCGTATTCTGGGTCATATAAGCCTTGCTTCTTTGGAATGGCGCCTGCCCAAGAATTATTCGATTCATCTTGATGTTGTTGGTAAAAATTATTTTCTGTTTGAGTGGTTTCGGCAATAGAGACCATATTATTAAAAATCAGAAAGATGAAATTCTGATTGATAATTATTAATTTGTGAAGAAGTTAAGTTACGGTATCGATACCCAGTTGCAATTTTGTTCTATGAATATATATGTATGCTATACGACTATTAAAGACGTGTATTCCAATGGGCAGGGAAGACGCACAGCAAGAAGAGAGAGGAGAGAGGGACGGGGAGAGTAGGTCAAGTGAGTCGTTAAAATTGGTGATGTTAATATAGGGGACTAGACCGTGTTTTTTTGATAATCAAAGTGACTTTTTTTTTTGTAATAAAATGATGAAAATTTTATAACAGCCCAGTTTGGCTGAGGAATTTATGTCAAAAAAGAGACTGATATTGATCAGATAACGAATAAATTATTCAATAAGATTATTAATATTTATTTTAAGTCGTGTTTTTGCCATTCGAATTTAGTTTTGATTTTGATTATTATATAAACCAAGCTGTCGGTAAGCTCGTAAGTAGGCTTCTTTTTCTTGATAACATGTGAAACTCATCCAATCTTGTTGCAGATGCTTATCAGAGCTTCTACGGCAGTTTAAACAGAAATTTACAGATAATCTAAAATTTTTGCAGGGTGTTTTGTGATGCAAGCGTGACACGAACTATTGTTTATATCAGCCAGTCACACTTAATTCACCTCACTGCATATTAACTGAATGTGTTATGATACCTAATTAAATGGTGAACATAGCTGTCAGGTGATGGGATCAGTCTGATCATGAGATCCAGTCTGGTCATGAGACCAACGATGCTGCGAGTGCGTAGGACAATAATATACTCGATGATTGGTCATTTTTCGATCGATTATTAGACATCAAAATCTATTGCAGCACCCGATCTCGCATGAGAAAATAGCAAACATTATTGATGGTCATTTGGTCATTCGGTACGGTGCGTTATCGGTTCAATCTATATACAACAGCAAATTCAGCCGACACCCAACCGTTGACAAACTAACCTATTAAGTAATCCAAATAGACATGTCGACGTTGATAAATACAATACGTATCAGATAACAACATTCCCGCCTGCCAATCATGTCAAATGATCTCTGATCTTTTGCACGTCTCTTCTTCATATCAAAAAAGATTAGATGTTGGCGAGACTATTAAAGAAGGCTGAAATAGTAGTCTCCCGAATGTAGCACTCTTAATACATCCAATAAAGTCACATTAAACATCCTTTATGTTAATAGGGGATCCATACGGACCAATTGACCCATCAGTGCTATAAGCCTCTACAATGATGCTGATGTGGGGATGAAAGAAACACAATCATGTCGTTCACGGAATACCCAGCCACGGCCTCGGACCTTTCCTTGTTCGATCTCTCAAACAATCGACTCAAGATTGAATATGTGCCTATCTATCATCTATCTATCTATTTATCTATCTGTTCCATCTATCCATCTATTATATCAATCATAATCTGATGTATGCATGAGATCATCATAGAGCGATTGTTCCCGGGTGGCAAATTTAACAGTCATAAGTGGTGTCAATGTAATAGTTTATTATGGTAATCTGTGATATCACGCTTGATTAACATGCAAATAATAGTTTTTCTTATTAAAACGAATGCCGTTTGTGACCATTATATAATTACTTGTCTTCCTCCCGACTTTCCCCACACGTAGAATTACAAAAATGGATAAGGGTCATATGGCAAGGGACAATGAAGACATATATGTGTATTTATATACATCAACAGCCAGACCCCATGCTCGCTCTAAACCATATTAATTTTAACGTGATGATTAGTGGATTAACTATGTGCATCACACAATTGCATTTAATATGCGTTGTTCATCACGATCTTCTTCTGTGGATACCATAATCCATCATTCCGACATCACCCTTGCTCATCAATGTTTGTGCTGTACATCTGGACATGCGGAGTAAATACAATTAACAAATACGTTACTATTGATGTTGATGTTATCAGCCAAGGAATTGACGAAATGACGGCACAATTGAGTGTTTTGCGAATCCTAAGAGTTTAATTATGACAGCATGTTGGATAAATTTCTATTTGATAAATTAGGGATTAATACTAACTCTTGTAGTACTTGAATTGAATGATTAATATAACAGGAATGTTAATGCCACGACTCGTGGTGCACTTGTTGCTTCTAATTCGCTATTAATTGTCCTCTTTATATTCTCTCTCGTGTTTGCAACAACCGTATATTCCCGATATTCCCCCCTAATTACGTATGTTTAGACAGTTCGTTCGGTCGAAGATGAGGATACATCTGTATATTCAAAATAAAATTTTTGCAATAACCATGACTATATTTGCTATTAGAAATCAGATTATCGAGTCATCATGCACGACCGTATTCGAACAGGTGGATATCAAAATTCTGTTGATAAAGAGATAAGGTTAAATAACAATAGGAACCATCTATCGATTCTTCATTATTTATACGGCAATAAATTGAAAATTGACATAAACACAAACCTCAAGCCAAGATAGCTGCGCTGATTAACTGCATTCATGAACCGCTTTGCTAAGCAAGTCATTAATTACATTTCTCATTTTGGCATGGTATGAATTTTATCATATTTACTTTTATGGGGTGTTCTTATTTTCGCCGATAATCACTATAAATCGGAGTCACATGACAGTTCAAATTTTTGTAAAAAAACGACTTTACGCAAAGAGTTCAGTCGACAAAATAAAGTTACTGCTTGTTAGTAGTAACCGATTATGACCGAATACAAACGGGTTTTGACGATCACAAACCATATTAATATGGCAACGAATGCTACTTATTTGAATCAACAATGCAACAACGTGTGTCGGTTTATATTTCTTATTAACATTAATTTATACCTTATAACTATCCTTACTATTACGTAATTGAAAAGTTGACATTGAAATTGATTAACGTGTCACAGGAATGAACTAAATAGGCTCATACATCTATCCACTGACATCCGCAGTTTTCGTGGCATATAAAGGATAGTTCCGCCTCATTCTTGATCTCTCAAAAGAAAAACTTTGTCATTAAATTTATTTGTTCTATCACGTATTTTATTACTTTTTACACGTTATTATAATGTTCTTGATGCCGCCATCACCATTCTAAAGTTGACGTGTTTCGGAATTATCACGTTCGAATATTCTCTTTCACAAAACTTATGTGATAGGCTTGAAATGATCAACATCCCAGAACAATAATAACAAGCTGTCTTCAAAATGCATGACTACTAATCACTTGCTCCAGTCGAGTCGAACAGCCATTTATCCATTAAAACAAGCAAGGATTAAGACATATCGCAATAAACTGAATAGCGTAAACATAATAATAATACCACAACATATTTTCGATCAGGCGGTCAGGGTTTGTCGTATATATATATACATATACGTAGTGAAATTTTCAAAATGTTTACTCGTCCACTGTGAAGTAGGAGCGGTCGGGATACCGTATATACGCGTAATCGATGACGAATGGTATAAAAACGGTTGGTTTTCCGAGAGAACATACCAAAAACCAGCATATCGTCTTTACTAATGTATTGACTTAAATAATGCTTTTACTAATCGCGGGCAATGTCATTTCCTCCCTTCCATATCTCGTGTTTTGTTAGAAGTTTTGGAAATATTAGATAACTGTCAAAGAATGTTAGCCAAATCCCATAATCATCGTATTGTCTTTCGTTTGGCGTGTTCACCAAACAGAAATGTTACTAAGCTTGGCTCGTACTGCTCTGGTAGCTGTACAACGTTTCGAACAGCTTACTTAATTGCGTAATTAGCTTATCTCTCAGATAAGACGAACGATTTTACAAGCGTTGAATCATCTAGGTATATTTCCATTATAAGTTAGCTCGGCGAATATTTATGACTAAGGGGTAGAGTGCTATGGTTAATTGAGAGTGAATTTAGAGTTGGCAAACCCGCAAGAAATCGAACACCAAAAAACAAAAAACCGCGTTATTTTATTGTTAAACACGTTATTTATTTTCTAATTGGTTGAATATGGCAAAGAAAATCAAATTTTTATTATGATGTATTTTATTTTCATTACTTTTTTCGTCTTGCCTTTATTAAAAGTTTATTTCACTAATACGGGAAGCACTGGTTTAGAGTCTAGTTCCTTGAGGGATGTTTGATCCACAGTAAACTGTGATGTAATACATAATGCATTAGTTTTGGTATTGGGGAAATCGCGTAAACAACATAACGTTATATCAACCTTGATAGCATCTGCTGCCGGTTTGGTTCGCAAGTAGTACATCCCAGTTTTTAGTCCCTTCTTCCATCCGTAACTAAAAATTGAACAGTTAGTGAATTTGGCAAACTATGTGTACTCAAACAATAGTTGATACTCACAAATGCATGCTAGTCAATTTAGCATAGGTTGGTTCCGCTATGTGAATGTTTAGACTTTGCGATTGATCAATGAACGCACCGCGGTCGGCTGCCATGTCAATAATAACTTTTTGAGAAATCTCCCATGTTGTTTTGTATAATGCTTTCAGCTCATCCGGAATCCCTAGTACTACATATTAAATGTCGAGTTAAAGTTTGTAAAGACATTTAACAGTTGATATTAATAGAAATCGCCTAACATACTTTTCTGAATACTCCCATTATCAGCGATGATTCTATTCTTCATATTTTCATTCCATAGTCCCATCTCAACAAGCTCCTTGAGCAACCAAGGATTCACAATCTGAAACTCGCCAGCAAGCGCGCGCCGAGTGTAAATGTTACTTGTATAAGGCTCAAAACACTCGTTGAATCCTAATATCTGCGATGTGGATGCAGTCGGCATAGGTGCAACTAGTAACGAATTGCGGACGCCATGAGTGGCGATCTTCTTCTTTAACGAGTCCCAATCCCAGAGATCTGTCGGTTCAACACCCCACATGTCATACTGTAGAAGACCTTTTGATACAGGAGAATCTCCATACGTTTCATAAGTACCTAAACTTTCAGCGAGTTCGCACGAAGCTTCTAGTGCACCATGGTAGATGGTCTCAAATATTTGTTTGTTTAACTTTCTGGCATGTGGGGAGTCGAAGGGCATCCGCATTGAAATAAAGGCGTCCGCGAGACCTTAAATAACGTAAACAAGAAGCAATTTAGTCCGATATGATTCATAAATACAATATCATAATAGTTAATATGAGACGGGTTCTTACCTTGAACGCCAATGCCTATTGGACGATGTCGCATGTTAGATCGATGCGCTTCAGGCACAGGATAAAAGTTGACATCGATAATCTTGTTTAAATTACGCGCCACTACTTTGGTAACCTACATCGAGTTTAATGCTTACTTAGTCATGTTACAGTCAATACGTTTTCGTTTATAGGTTAAACATACCTCATGCAGTCTCTTGAAGTTGTATTTGCCTTTCTCAATAAACGTTGGTAGCGCAATACTAGCAAGATTACATACAGCAACTTCGTCTGGGCTCGAATATTCGATAATTTCAGTACAGAGATTGCTACATTTTATAGTACCGAGATTCTGTTGATTTGACTTGCGGTTACATGCATCTTTGTAAAGCACGTATGGAGTACCAGTTTCTATTTGTGACTCGAGAATGGCATGCCATAATTTTTGAGCCTCGATTGTTTTGCGTGCGCAACCTTTTTGTTCATATGATTCGTACAATTGCTACATTATCACAAGTGTCAGTTGAGAATAGACGTTAATGCTAGAACCACAGATACATAGCAATCAGCACGTAAAAGAACCACACTAACGTCAAATTTTTCTCCCCAGACGTCTGCTAGTCCAGGCACTTCATTGGGGTCAAATAGACTCCAATGTGAATTCGATTCGACTCGCTTCATGAATAAATCAGGCACCCAAAGAGCATAAAATAAGTCGCGAGCACGACCTTCTTCTTTGCCGGTATTCTTTTTCAAATCTAAAAAATCAAAAACATCGGCATGCCAAGGCTCCAAGTAAACAGCGAATGCGCCTGGTCGTTTGTTGCCACCTTGATCAACGTATCGCGCAGTGTTATTGTATACACGTAGCATTGGGATAATCCCATTTGAGTAACCATTAGTGCCAGCGATATATGACCCTGAGGCTCGAATACTATGAATATTAAATCCAATTCCACCAGCAGTTTTGGATATTACTGCGCAAGTCTTGAGTGTATCATAGATTCCTTTTATTGAGTCATCTTTAATCGTTAGCAAGAAGCAACTTGATAACTGAGGTCTCCGTGTCCCAGCATTAAATAGTGTAGGTGACGCATGAGTAAAAAACTTTGAGCTCATCAGATTGTATGTCTCAATAGCAGCATCAATGTCTTCTCCGTGGATGCCGACTGAGACCCGCATCAACATATGCTGAGGTCTCTCAACGATCTTTCCATCTATTCGCAGGAGATATGATCGCTCGAGTGTTTTAAAACCAAAGTAATTGTACATATAATCGCGATCGTAGATTATTGCCGAATTCAATTTGTCAGAGTGACGCATTATCGTATTGTAAGTATCGTCTGAAATCATCGGCGAGTGCTTTTGTGAAGTGGGGTTTATGTATCGATAGAGATCTTCAATTACGTGAGAAAAAACTTTTTTAGTTTCTTTGTGAAGGTTGGATACTGCTATGCGTGCTGCAAGAATGGCATAGTCGGGATGTTTGGTTGTCATGTAAGCAGCAGTTTCCGCTGCCAAATTGTCGAGTTCAACTGTCGTTACTCCTTGATAGACACCAGATATAACCTAATAAAATATGGAAACACGCGGTTGATTAAAGATTTAAAGTTATATTGTGCAGTTTTTTCTTGTACGGTATTCGACGCGAGGAATGCTTACTCTTTGGGTGACTGTAACGGGGTCAACATAATTAGTATCGAGTCCATAGCATAGTTTATTAATACGTGCTGTTATCTGCAGAGTTAGTAATTTCGATTAATACATTTTGCTTTGTATGTCTCGTTCGTTTAGTCATGATCATATACCTTGTCAAAAGCAACTTTCTCTTTCCGACCGTCTACCAAGTAAATAGTAAAATTACTGTTAATGAGTTTCGATAGACGCCCAAGGAACAAGCACTTGTATTATATCTTTGAAAATAGCGTACCCCTCTTTACGACGTACATAGCTTGCGGTATTAGTGTTAAAGAAGTGAAAGGCGGGCGAGAATGTATTAAGAGACAAAAAAGCGAATTTGGTTTACAATACCGCGTATGGGACGCGTGGGATCGGAATGTATTTATGTATCCAATTAGCACAATCATTGATAAATCACGTGTGTTCTAAATTAGAAAATTAATTATGAAAGGTTTTACTCTATCAAGTATGCAAATATTAATTAATATAAAGAAAGGGCAAGAGCCTTAACTTTTTTTTAAAACCAATAATTGATTTGAGGCTGTCAAACATTTCTAATGTTATAACGTTGCCAGAGTTGGTTTATGTCAATTGATTAGGTTGACGCTTATAATAATAACATTTTATGTGCGAAAACTTGTTATTATACAAATTGAGATCGATCTCAACAGTTAATAAAAACAGACAAACGAACGTAAAGGAGCAAAACCGTTTTCCCCTTTGCGTTTCTGCCATCAAACGGGAGACGTATGCTGAGTTGAACTGAATCCTTTTATCAATATGATTCTTCTGCGAATATTTTTTTGAAATATAAGGTTGTATATCTTGATACTAAATGAAGTCTAACGCGTTGTCATGTTCAACTCACCCTACTCTTTTAGTACCCTTCCCAAACCCGAATCAACGAAACTTGAAAACATGGATTCGCTCGTTTCAAACTCACACCGCCACTTCTATTAATAGCTCTATGTCGCAGATGTGAAATAAGCCAAACCCATCTTTGATTACACGGAGATGGCTCTCAGATGATCCCCTGCGTTAATATAATGTGCCCTGGAAACTCGCAGGAAGTTTTTACATTTCTATGCAAGTATTGTCGCACATATCGTAATGATTAATAAATGTATGCCAAAAACCTTGGGAAATGCCAATTGGTTTTATTTGTTAACATGTTGATTATGGGATTTGTGTCACCTGACTTACAACACGAGGCGCGAAAACTTGAATCAAATACCTGTTTTTTATTGGCAATGCGTTTGAAAAAGCCCAGATAATACTGTATATTATACAAACAAGTATCGCCAAATATCGAAATATACAAGTGTTCTATACTAACAGGAGACATATATTTATTATTCTCATGATAATGATCTAAGTTTAATTTCTATATCAGCAAACTCGTTAGCGAGAGGACCAGTTGCCGGACCATTCGACAGGCTCTGCGCTGCTAGGAGATACCGCGAGTAACTGTTCAAGATTCTGTTTATGTCGTGATACATCAACCTACAAGGACGGATAAGTCAATAGTGTATTTTAGAGAACGATGATCTACATAATGCAATATACACTCACTGGCCAGATTGAATCCATTGAGTAAGTAATTCTGCCAATTCACCGAGCATAAATATGGTAGCGTCTCGTTCATGAAGAGGTAGAGGCTAAACCGTTGAAGAATTACTGTGGGTTAAATAAATAGTCAGCATGGCCGCGATAAATAATAAATCTTACCTTCTCATTAATTAAATGATCCAAGGCTTCATATATATCGTGAAATGTTGCGTTGGCCATCAACAAGACTCGGACCAAGGATCCACGTGGCGGGTATCCTTGATAATTGCAGTACGATATCAAGTAATATGTAATACTTACTGCATTCCAATAAAACGTTGTTAACATTGTGGAATTGTATCACAAACTTTTACTAGTAAACGTACATACCAATAGGAAAGACATACAAGTCTCTTGGTGCAAATTTACGTCCTAATCTGATGACTACTTCGGCTGCAGCATCGAATGATGGACCTGAATATCGAATTATTATTGTCAATTAGTCATACAACCATAAACCAAATTATACGAATAATGATTAATCGAAAATACTTGCAATTGTCAATAATTTCTCTCCATACGTTTGCCACGTCAAGCATATGGGGCCGAGCACTTGCACTAAAAAGTGATAATTTAATTTCGTGCAGGTTGTATTTTTCTGCATAATCTTCAAAAAGCTATTCACATATAAAGCGATAATAGGTAATTAATAATCACAAAGAACAATAGAAATAACGATGGATGTTCCATGAACTTTTAATACCTGCTGTCTTTCAATCAAATTTCGATCAAGCTCGTCTGCCCGTATTCCTCGTGCTTCTAGTTCCAGTTTAATCTCATGCTGGACATGTGCCACTCTCAGTGAATCTTCGTAAATCCGTAATCGTTCTACCATTTCGCGCGTATCCGTAGTTATTTGCGCGCTTCGAGCATCCGCTACACACCGACTGAGATATTCAAGTCGTTTATCCAAGTTTATATTGAAGCTGAACAGGCATTGTAATAATGTTAATCATCGCGTAATGAGATGCAGATTTTGAACTATTAAGTAGCAAATAAATCATGCCATCAACTAACTCCCTCGAATGCGCCAGATTATATCTAATCTCGGCTGCCTTTGCAGAATTATTTCGTATCGTACAATAATCGCAATAGAGCTCCTGTTTTATTAATCCTACTTCATCCGGAGTTATGTTATGTTGGAAATACTCATCAAGATATGGATACGGTAGCTAGATTTTGAATATTTCTCAGTTAGCATAGTTGACTCAAGAATATCCCCATAGGCGGACTGAGAATGTACCTCAAATAATCTACGAATGGTTCCCGCACGGAAAAACTCGTCATATACTGCAAAAATAAAACCCTTATCGTTTAAGTTAGCTGCATCGGTGAGAGCAGTATCAAGTACAACATCTCTTTGTTGCTCATCGTAATCTGTAGGTAATAAAAATAATTAGCATAACAACATTGATGTGAAAGCTAGCAAGCGCTTATAGTTGATCTCCTGCTGACTTACAGGTTGGTCTATCGCTAAATACGTCAGCATCCCTCATTATATTTATCACCAGGTCATAATATGGTTGCCTGTGGCTAACATCTAATTTGTTGGCACCAGAGAGAGCAAGCGTAATCGCTCCTATAATTTAAGATAAGACGTTAACAATATTTTTTGTTGAACCGAATATATGTAGCAGTGCACATACCCGAATGATATCCCAATTGCTGGAATTCTGTGCAAATGTTTTCCAACGTTCCAAAGGTCATGTTCTCGATGCCTTCACAAAACAACCTAATAAAGTTAAGCAGATTTATACGAAAGGTTAGGAGGTTTTTTCGATAGCAAAATTTAATTTATCTAACATCGCCGCTGGTACCAATTCTGTTATAATACATACCCTAAAGCCTTGGATAAACTATTGGGAGCGGTTGACCCATCGACAACCTTAGCATTCTGAAGCTCTTCATAAGCCTATCGAAACGAATATTACATTAGATAATCGGAAAATCTCGAGCATTATCATGAACGTCCACGTACCCTGAATATCTGCACATCAGCTGCATTGCAAAAAGTTTTACAGTAAGTCTCAAGGGCACGACTCAGCGTGTCGACCTGTGCGGACAAACATATTCAATGTATTTCTAGATCTTACGTTGCACAAATAGACGAAAAAAATGGTTAAAACCACCCTTAGCTTACATGTGGACCGTTTTCCCGTTTGATAATAGCCAATACTAGTTCTTGCCAGTTTTTCCTAGCAATATTATTGGTAACTAATTCTTCGTATGTAGATTCAGCTATAGCTTTCCGGCTGCGCTCCGACAAACTGTAGAAAAAAGTCAAGTCACAAAGAGCATGCATATGCGCGTTTGATGCGGACCATGATTATGATCATTTACCTCGACAAAATTTCAGGCAAGTTGTAACCTATCATTAACCTAACAAACTGTATAGTATCTGCACATTTGACCAGCAATTCATAGAGAGGAATCAAGGAATCGGGTGGTTGCTATATAAAGGTAAGGTTAGACGGTTAGCAACTAAAACAATCAGAGTAAGCAGTAATCCATCCAAATTACCTGAAGTGTTCTATCCCCACTCTGCGGAAATATACCAAAGTCGGGATAACTGCGAAGGATCAATCATTAATATTGTTACCAAAATGCTAATTATATGAAACGTAGCGATCTTCAAACTCACGTTTCCAAGAACAATTTCGTCTTCAAAAGTTTTGGTGTGATTTCATCGAGAATTGCTTGTGGTATGTTTGTGTCCATTCTGTTGGGATTAGTATCTCTAGGACTACCAATAACAATAATAGCGTTTGATAACTCTAATTACGAGGACGGTAAAATAGTTGCATTCGTATTTACATCTAATGGACTAAATCAATTATTTGATGCCAAATTTTACCTTGACTTGATTACTTTTTCTTTCCAGACTGGTCGCAAAGTTCTCGCCAAATATAAACAAAGGCCTTCATATAACACTCTTGGTCCAGTTGGGAAATTGGGGTTTGCTCAATAATGGGAATGTTTATATACTTTAGTTTGCTAATAACAACTACAAAACACATTATCCAAATAGGTAGATGAGTACCTGGCAGTGTGAATGGAGTCCGAGCAAGATTGACACGCAGTTGCATTAATAAATTTCTGCTCGATGGAGTTGCTATGTAAAAGCACATTGCGCTTGTCTCAACGTCGCCATAGCTGTGGTAAAATCATCCTTTTTCAATAAATATGACAACAGTTTCACATTTAGCACACAGTTCGATACTTTACTTCCGCCTGAATTTATCGAGCTCAGTTGCGTTTGAATCTTGTTCAAATCGTTCCAGAAAAACACTCAAAAAATCAACAGGGCGCATTTTTGTCCACATTGTAACGCCTATACCAATAGATTCCGTAGCAAAAGAAAGGAATCAGTATATATATACTTTTTCTGCACACGCGTTTTTAGATGCTTACTTTTTTCCGTCAAAAGAACAAAGCTCCTTTTGGGATTTGCAAACTGGCTTATCAACTCGTTAAAGTAGGCATCATTCTTATTGGGATCACACAATGGACTATACTTCTCCGTAATTTCATACAGATTACGGGCAGGTCCGAGTGTACTAACGCAATAGAGCTCATAATGTCTAACAGACCCTCGGTCCTAAAATCAGAAAATACTTTGTAAAAGACATTTAAAAAGAGCCAAACAATTGCTACGTTTTAATAACTGATTACCTACAACTTGATTTCTGTCTAACTGTTCATAAATAGCGCCAAAGTTGGGCGCTGTCTGAATTAGCGTAGTCTGGTCACCCTCAATTCGTTTGGCGAAAAATAGACCATGATAATATCGAGCCATTTGAAATTTGTTTGACAAACGACCAGTTGTCGTGGAAGGTGCATCGATGGGCGGAGGAGAAAGAATATGAGCAAAAGTGATACTGTCTGGTTCCCGTATCCTTGAATCAATTGGTTGGGGATATAAGTAACTGGCATAGGGTGAGTTATTCGTGCATGAAAAATACCATCGATGGCCTATGAATTGTTTAAGGATGCTATATTTAGATGCGGTTAAATATACAATTATTTAATAATATCTTCATTGACATTTACCAGATTCTGAAACCGCAACAAGACAATATTGAGCAGATTCTGTCTTTGAGACAGCGTGTATAGAAATAAAGTCGCCTGGGTCAACAGTTACCATCATATTATTGTCACCAATCTGTCTTTTTAACCTCATTCTCTCCTTTGAACTTTGGTCAAATCTGCCCTTGCTTATAAAGCTGTTTCCATCTTGTCCCAAAAAATACATCTGCGTATCAAAAGTAATAAAAGCATCATAATTAAGACGAAGAAAAATATAGCGAGATGATGTTGTAATCATAGTACCTCGATAGTATTATCTTCTAACAACACGAATAACGTTCGACGCGTATTATCGATCGTCAGGTACTTTACAGGAGCTTAAGGTAATATCAGTAAACCATACTCGGAGAATAATATATGAAGATATATAGCACATACCTCCACTACGAAATATTGACCAATTTGGAAGTATAGAGCTGGACCTTAGATTTACCAAATTAATTCTTGGACGGAACCAGCCTTCCTCCTACATAATTAGATTGTAAGCGACAAGTCAACAACGTTTAACCGTAAATTCAATCTTCTAACCTGGTATATCAATTCGTAAAGATCACTCTGTGCTATTAAAAAGATACGCCCATTGTCCGAACCAACAATCATCTTTACAGCCAAAGTAGTTGGTGAGTGATACACTTCGGAGGGACTGTTGTATATTGCGGTTTTCTTATTCTCACGGGAGATACCACATATATGAATCTTCTCTTCAGTTACAACAGTCATAATATACTGGATAGCATCGATCCAGTAATCTTTTTAATTGCCAGAATAACATAAGATTTACATTGCCACATTTACAGTCAACACAATGATCAATAATTCGGCTTACTTGGACGCGCTTTGACAAGCTGAACATTCGTGACAGATCGTTCCGGTACATCTATATAAGCTATGGCATCGTTGTCATTTCTGTATCCAATAATGTTCATAGCACAATGTATTGTTGTCACGTTAATAAGAAAGGGAGAGAGAAAACGCAAACGCTCGATCAATCACCCAAAGAACACGAATGCAATTACTACACAAAGTGTTCCTTAATTTACATAATTAATTCCCACACAATAGCATATAAACACTTTACTGTCAACTTACGCTCTCTCGTATTCCCACAGGAATACCTTGTTATCCACAACGAAATATACAAAATTCAATAACGAAAAAACACCCCATAATGCGTGCCTAACCGTACTTGCTATAAGGTTGCAATTAGCCTAGTTAAGAATAAGACTCGCTTCGTGTTTAACAACGATCGAATTACTTAACCAGATAATAAAGGATACTAAACAAGGCCTGTCGAACAAGATCGGGCATTAGGATTATCTTCTCTTGCTTATATAGATATGGATATTCCAAATAACGCTCCTCGGGTCGTGGATCGCATGGATTGCTGATCGGTTGACTCTGGTCAACAGTAGAGAGTAAACGTATTTTCAGAGCATCGTCGTCGCGAAAACGTTTTTTAGTCAGATCTAGGATAACTTGGCTTTGAGGTGGAACTTGTGGCGCAGCCATGTTGGAAAAGGCAGAGAAATGAGGTGTTGTTTCAGACGACTGATTGGGTAAACAGTTTTCTTGAAGAAGAAAGCAGGAGAGAATTGAGTTTCAAACGTCCTTGAGATTATCCGAAATTTAGCGAGAAAATTCGTGTGAATTGATGGGCCAAATTGTTAATACAATGACCTCTCATATCCGGTTTGTTTGGGCATTTACTTTTATAATAATAAGGTACTGATCTTACAAACTTGGTGTTAGACCAATTGCTTGCGTAAATCTCAAATTTATTTTTAAACACTTCAAATAATTTGTTTGCTATTCAACGAACGCGCGTTGCGTAATAGACAACTATGACAAGAGTACGAATATAGTAATAATACTTATGTGCGTGCTCAACCATAATATTAGCAATAGTAATGATGTCTTCGGATTATGTCAAACATTAGCCCCAGTCGAACGCTCATCAAATATAATAACCATTAATGTCGCCTGTATTTAACAAGTTTCCATAGTAATAGTAAACCGCAACGTATATTAATATTAATATCTCTTGATTCTATACTTTTCACGCGCTAAATGAACATCGATAATATTTATATTGCCACTATTGTCCAAGTAAAACGAATAGTCTACGATGAACGTAGTTTCTATTAAGATGGACATTCAAGAATCATGAGCATCTCCTACGTACCTACGTTTAATAAGTAGCAGTAAAAACTCTTTTTGTTGTTCTCGAACGATGATCTGCTTAGACGCGACAAGGTTATCCATTTTGGTGATAACAATTTAGGCAACAATTGACATCGGGACCAATCTTCAGAAAGATAAATTCTATGTAATTCAGTCTAACAGACCCAGTTGCACTTAACATTTGAGGAAACAACCACTTTGACCGTTTCATTATAAATCGAATTACTAAAAATAAGATTCTCTTCACCTAAGTATGATGTATAACTAAAAGTCTCTGATACAGGATAAGGACGACCATATTCACAATTTTACAATCATGCCTTGGCTACAGAATTAATTAAACGTGCGTTTATCTGTCTTGTTTGCTTTTTTGAATAATTTGTCGGGCAGAACTTAAAGATACTGTCGGCGTTTATCCTTCTGAAAATATCATTGCAATGCTGAAAGGAGTCCAATATGTATCATATCAAAGACATTTTTGAACAATCAAATACGCGCACTATAGTAAAAGCACCAATTGTATTTTTGCTACTACGCTTAACCAATCAAATGCTGTAAGCAATTTTCTGAAGCGTCGCGCTAAAACTTTAATCGTGGGAATATCAAAGTCTTATTGTGCTTCATAGCAGTTGACATGGCCTACTATGTGAGCGATGATTGGGACGAACTGTATGTAGAGGCTACTAGAACAGCCAACGGGGATAGCCTCAAAGAGATGGAAGGCAAGTTGAGTGGTCGAGGTGCTATTTTATGGTTCTCAACTTACCTTATCTTACCTATCGATAGATGTTATGCGCATGATTAGCAATCAATGGGACTTCATGCTTGATGCCGACGTAAGCAGACAGCAAACAACACGATTTCACTACTTAGCATGCTCATATTTTTGAAGCACACTTTTTATTAAAATACGTATTTTCTGCATCTAGTTCAATCCGGTTAAGCTTGCGCTGGCGTTACTTGACGATAGTTCTCTTGGTAAAGATTATGGAGCGTTTCAACGTACCATGGATGTCTTGAATAAAGCTCTTGGACTTATAGTAAATGGTAAAGCATGCTTTTGGTTTGCATTTGATTTAATTGGGTCAGTAATCTAACTCTCTGTGCAGATTACTATCAGGGCTTCAACAGCTCAATTGGAACATTTGGTGGTGTAATGATGAACATTGAAGGTAAGTTAAAGTATTATGGAAAGACATCAGTTCTGTGTTATGATGTAGGATATATTATCGAGTATGAACGTTCTTTTCGTAATGAATTAGATTCGCAAGAACGAGTTTGCGAAATAAAGAATCAATTGAAGCAATGCAAGCAATCTTTACTGTCAAAGCGGGCGGATTTGATGCAATTGTGGTTTCGTAGTCAACAATACAAGGAGATGATAAGGATATTGGATTTAATGTATGTGGATAAGAGACATCAGTTAGCGAGTAAATGAGAAGAACATAATTAATATATTACCGGGATTGGGTATTTTGTATCCAACAAGTTTACTAAATACATGCTGAATACACAGAGAAGAGGTTAAAGGAACGCCAGAAAAACTTGAAGTTCTTATTCGTGAGAAACATTTTCTCACTGCTGCCAGGACGCTTCTCGAGGCCATTCGCACAATGGACAGAAGAGAGATGGCAGGCATTGGGGCCTTGTCTGATCTGAAACGGTATCTCAAAGCACAACAGAATGTACATACACGTTTTATTCACATAGTTTATTTCATAACACCCATGACACTTACTCTTAATCATTCTAATAACCGCTCTTACACGTCTTTCCTCTTTTAATCAACTAGTCATTTCACGAAGTCCTTATAGAACAGCTTCACAACCATCTCTATCTCAAAAGCCCGTATTGTGATAGTCGGTGGGTTAGATATTCTAAAGATCAGGCTTCATGTAAGTAGTTAAAGCATAAGAAAGCTATTATTCGTAAGCGTTTATATTAATAATAAGGATGTACTGGAATCTAATCTAAATACGTCCAGGCAGTACCTGCAGCCATTTTTGACTTGAATTCGGAAAAGGAGTTACGATCAGCGTCTAATCATGTAGATGGTATTGGAAGCAAGAGTCTTTCTGGTAATTGTACAAATATTTGGTTTGTTAATAAACTTCAATGCACACGTGTTTAATTTTCATGCTTATATTCACAATCGTATTTACAGTCAATACGTCAATCTCAATAAACTCATCACTGGTTCCCAGATCTCCTCGATCCCCAATGCCGACTGCATCGCCTAAACCAGCAAGCCCCGCTTTGAATTTATCAGGAGATGATGAAGAAGTGGTATAGGGAAAACCCTGGTTATATTAATGGATTTTGTCTCGACTATTATATGGCCACACCGCATTAATTATTAATGTTATGATTATAGATTAAAGAAAATTTAGGTATTAATCCTGAGTCGGATTCATTTTATTACATGGAAATAATATTAGAATCGCTGGCATTGATCGGAAAACTACCACTTGCTCTGGAGGTCAGTGTGAAGGCTGATTTAGTAGAGTGGCCTTTAGATTTACAAGACTTTAACCAAATATACATTTTAATAGACGATAACTCAAAGTCTTCCAATAGAAATATACCAACTTGTGGACAAGACCATTGCCGAAGTAGAAGAACGGTAAATAATTACAGACTTTTTTTCCTCGAATGCATACTAAGTAATAGCATCATATTGTATTTAATAGCTCTATTGTAACTATCGTATCAGATTTCTAAATCTTTTCTTTTCTATTTATACATTTTATTATTCCCACCCACTGAATAGGCGAACAGTTGATGTGTTTGCGACGATGAATACTAAAAAAACTGATCACATAAACAGACATTTTTTTGATTCACCAAAAAACGAAACGCAAATGGAAATACTTCGAGACCTTCTTTGGACTTTATATTCGAAATTAGATGCTGTATTACAGGGACATAGATTTATTCTGAACGTTGTTGAGAGGATAAGTAGGGTATTTATCATTAAGAATAATGGTGGGCGAGTATGAGAAAATCAGTAAATGTAGAGCTTTAATCAAATTTATCACTATATCCTAATAGAGGCCAAGTTACCTTAAGAACATTAACGGTAAGAGTTATTCCTAATAACCAACGGTTGATCAAAGATCCTGTATTTCAGTTGAGAAAACTGAGTTATATTTTATTAGGGACACAAAAGATAAGAGTATATTCCTTCATAGAAATATGGAAACCAATTCAAAGCGAAGTATGTATGCTTTAAATTGATTAACTATATTAGTTCACTTTCATGGTTTGTCCAATTATTCGCATTTGTTTGTTAAATGCTCTGCATAATTGATTTTAGCTACGTGCCTTGTTGCGAGATTATATCACCGATGATGAACGAGAAAAAGATACCTTTGCAACACCTGCGGCAACTATGAACGACCTCATTAAAGAGAAAAAGCCGCGAGACAGATCAAAGGTTTGTTTTAATGCACGATAGTAGAGGACTTGATGCAATGGGTTATGCTTTTACGTGTAGCTGTCGTTTTTTATTGATTTATACTCGTTATCTTCACTTTATTTTATAGCAACTCTTCAAATTTTCAGACTCGGATCAAACGAGTACTATCGTCCTCGACAAACAATACGACGAAGACATCTCAAAGGTGTTACAGAAATCTCTACCAGATATATTTGGGAAGAATAACGGCGACCGTATTGTATTATCTGGTCTAGTGGTTGATAAGTTTGCAAACACAAACATGACCGTTGGACATAGGCTGGTAGTGAGACCAGACCCATTCAACGTGTCGGTGCTGTTTGAGCCGACAATGGTATTTCTTAACAACGTCAAAAATATCGTTTCGTCCAGGTGAGTTAACCATATTAAGGTCAAATTGTACTAAGTAGCAATTGTTAACCATCATTCTCTTTTCTAGTGGTGATGCAGGGACTGTTGACTTCTCAGTGTTCTTGGATGATTTCGTTTTTAATGTATTCTTGCCGCAAATTGAAGATAAGGTTATGGAGTTATTCGACCAGGCTACTAATGGTAGGAATACGTTGAGACGCTTTAGATTATGGCTGTTTGCATTCATAGTTCATTTTTATTTGTGATTAGACCCACGAGCTTTCCAAGAAGACGCTAAATACAAGAGATTTGCACCACTGCCCATTGTAAAGGTAATCAATTGAATGTGTGGCATAAAAACAAACAACGCTTGCATTTTACCTTTACTTATGCGACGTTGTTTACTGTTGATAGAGTACGTCTTCGCTCATGATGCTTATCGAAAATCTCTGCTCAATGTTTCGAACGATGTCTTTTCATAAAGACGAATATGGTAAAATGATAATAAGAATCTTGACAAAATACTACGTCAATTGCTTTGAACAATATCAAGGTATATACTGTTACAATTAATATCTCGCGTATACATACACTGTCACGTAAAATAACTCTTTTTTGTTCTTGATGCAGCTATTGTATCAAAGAACTCGCTAAAAGATGACTCTTCTGACTCGAGAAATCAGCAAAAAATTAGTGCCACATGGGTACAGCAAGATCAACTTGCCGATGTATTCGCTCAATATCCTTATCTTGCTGACGACGCAGTAAAGAACAGGAGAAGAAGAATTGAGCTATGCAAAAAGGTGACCTTATATACAATATGGGAACATTCGAACAAATAGATTGCTAAATTATTATAAACATTGACTTTCTTTTCCATCATCATTATAGGAAATCAAAACTCTGATGAGATTTAAGAAGAATAGGGTCATCCGAACTGGAGAGTTGATAATCGATGGGAATAAGATGAAATCTGTTGCTACTCTGTATCATAGCTTGGTACGTGAAATGTATTATTAGCACGATATTTATAGATGGGTTTATTAATAATTCTGCGGAAATATTTATTAATTTATGATTGAATGGTTGGCTGCTTAGAAATGGTTTGTCGCCAAAATATGGCAATTACGTGGCCTGGCATACGAGAATGTTGCTAGAATGGATGATGGTAAACTGGTAAGAAATTAAATACCCCCATTTTCTGGTCTTGTAAATGCTAATGGAATATATAGACATCATTGTATCGGGATATAACCAGAATTTCTACTACGAACGTTTTTGTTAATGACTGCTGTAACAATAGGCCAAATCTAATCGTCGTTGGTCATCTTATGATGCATTCAATATGACTGGAGTTGCAGTAAAAAAGGAAAAAGAAAAGGCTAAGAATGATGAAGAGGTTTTGTTGCCATTGACTGGCGAAATGGCGACGTGAGTATGGTTATGTTAGGGAAATTGTCTTAGGTCGAGATAATTATTCCGTACATTAATTTTATAAGCATTGCTTTTCTTTTGGGGACTTTATCGATTCTTTTGTTACATGCAGTCGGTTTGATGCACTACTGGCCACCTTCCAACAGTTAGCGGAACAGTGTCTATTTACCCTTCGTGTCGAGATTCGTTGCCATACTATGCATTACATAGATCTTGCAACTAGAGAAGTAAGTAGTGCATGTTATACGTCAATTGAAGCCAGGGAACAAAGATTTGATTTTGAACGGAATTAAAGTGTTGGAAGTAATCAAACTTTTTGCTATTATTAACGTAATAACTTTAGGGTAATTATCAACTGATGGAAGAAGCAGTCGAGCCTGACCCATATATTATCCAACTAAATGCAGACCTTGTCAAGTGTGATGATTGTCTCTCATCTAGTCTGCCTTCGCGAGAACACAAGTAAGTACAAGAATTTGTATATTGTGCGTAATGATATAATATTAATACGACTCCGATTAATCAATTCGTCTTTTTATGGCTCTTGTTAGATTTATATTCGAAGGCCTTGATCTATTGATGGAAAAACTCCTGATCAACAACGTTTCCTTCATGAAGAATCTAAATCTTAACGGAGTTAATAAAATGTTGCGTAACATCCTGGCTCTCCAACAGAATTTGAAGAATATCGTGGATACTCCAATGGAAATATCTTTAGATAAAGCAAAGCAATATTATGAATTGTACAAACACGGGCCTGAGGTATGTAATCGATAATGCATTCCTTCTTAGTTCTATTAATACGCACTAAATAATTTCCTGCTATTCTTAATTGTTTTTAGGCTATGCTTGCTTCTGTGCGGAATAATAAGAACAATCGGGACAACAAACCTGAATTTACGTTCGAAGAATATCAGGCTATGCTTGAGGTTATTTATAACATAGATAGTGCTAAAGAACCAGATACAGCTGGGAGACTGGATGGTGGACCATCGCAAAATAGGCGATTGTTTAACGAGCATTTGCTTGAACTAAATGAATTGATGCTTGATTTCTTGTAGACAACATATACTAATATGCTGAATTATAATTAATTATTGTTTGTTGGATAGTGGTGATAGAAGTATATGATTAGAAATGGTTTTCTGTATTAGTATTAGTATTAGATCGCGTATTAATAGATGTCTCGCACTATTTCAATGATGGTCGTGTAACACCAATATAAATACTTTTGGTAGATCAGAAATTAATCCCTGCCATGAGTTTTTAATAGTATATGCTTATTGCTCATTACATTTGTCGCAAAGTATGTCTTTGAGAAAATGAATTAAAAGTTTTGCAATTCTTATCTCAATAACTAGAGGTTATTCGTTAGCCGCCTTCGGCGGCGGGTGAGGTAGTAGGGGGAGGTTGGGTTTGTATGAAAATATAAAATTGTTTGTTAATGAGGTGTGATAATCTACGAAATCGGTAATACGTTGTGTTCTAGTCGTTCTAGTCGGTTATATTCATGAATTACTTCAGAATCAACTATGAAAACATCTTTGTGGAGGGATTGTATTTCGATTTGGTCACATGTGGTAGGCGGGGTGATGGTCTTCATGGTGGAAGATTCAGGTGTATGATCATTAATATTAGTTGAATTAACAACATCCATCGTAGTTGTATCATACTTTAGAATAGATTGACAAGTGGTTAATGTTTGGACTATAGTTACGGAAACTTCGTCGAATGGTAATGGATATTCATTTGAAAATTCTCTAAATCTGTTTAGTCTGAAATTGTGTTGAGACATTGTTGTAGTTATGTGTATTAAAAAGTGACAAATTACGGGAAATATATATATAGTTGTTTTTCTTCTTTTGCAAATCTATTTACGTTGATGGATAAATTTATTATTATGTGTAAACGCTTTCTTTTACTCATGTGTTTTATGAAAATAGATTGGCTTAATCGATCTGCTCGTTACAACAACAATAGTGCTGTAAATATTGGTTACTCGTAGTTATTTAAGAGCAAATATTGGTCTATTGATTATTTATAATATTAATCTTGATGTCAATATGTCTAATAAGTTTATTTGCAAATAGGAAAATGTTGTATTTTAGGTGAATTCGCACCGGTTATTGTGAATAGTTCATTATACATTTGCGTCTTACACTAGTACTGATTATGTATCGGAAATAACTATATAAATTGCTTTATATGGTAATATAATAAAAAATTTTCGCCGTGGGATAAAGGGATCTGTGTTACCGATGACCCGATGAAGGCAATTGATCTACAGTCAATTGCCTTTAATTCGACCCCCTTTAATTCGATTTCGCCGATAATTCGATCGCTTGAGCAAGACCCGAAAAATATTTTTATTATTGTTTTCCTCAAGTACGTCTGCCGTTAATTCGACTTATACGTTAATTCGACCGATGACTCTGGAACGGAGGCGGTCGAATTAAAGGCAGTTGACTGTACATAAATTAGTATTAGTATTTGGAAACATTAAATTAAAAGTCTTATTTATGACTAACTTCATTATATCGATATTGTATATATACTTACATACAGTATATATGCTCTGCTCTTAATTTCAAATTTTTCTTCTTTTGTTGGTGTTTGCTCTGTTGTTAACATTTTCTTGTGGTACGTTTGTCAGTTTTATTACTCGTTATTTCTTTTTCTACTTCGGTTTCCGAATAGAAGCAATATCGGTATCTAATTTTAAACGTTTACTTGTCGTAATTATAATTTCTATAATGTCGTCTTTCATTAGTGCAAATTTTCCAGTGATGTGATAAACGCAATCTTGCTTAAGTTCTTGGAGAGCCTTACCGTTATCGTCAAAATCAGAATCATCGGAATTGGTATTACTTATCGGCAAATACTGGCAAAACTGAAACGTTTGAAAAGTGCCAGCATTGTCTGACTTTACCCTTTTGAACAATCTTTTCATTGATAGGTTCAGATTTTACGAAAAGCAATATAAACTATTTGAGATAAAGACGCAATCATTTTTTGATAATCTCTTTTTTTGATTTTTTGAGATGATAAGTAGAGTTTGCGTTTGTTTTCCTTGAACACTGAGAAGTCAACAGTCCCTGCATCACCACTAGAAAAGAGAATGATGGTTAACAATTGCTACTTAGTACAAT